GTTGGAACATCTGAGAATGACTCTGTCAGTCTCGCCTCGAATTCGATCCAGTCTGCCTTCGTTAAGTTCCACCTGGGTGGCCGACAGCCAACTGAGCCATGCTCCCGGAGGTCCAGCCAGATCGGAAAATGGTCGCTGCCCATTGGGTGCGCAGCAACGCGCCACGTGAAAAGAGGAACTAGCTGCGGACTGCTAAGACTGAGATCTAGAACTGATGTCTGACCAGAAGGTAGAGAAAAATGAGTTGGAGCGAGCACCGGAGTTAAGGACACATAAGTCCTCATCGCCAATAAAAGATGCTAAAAGTCGACCACGGGTGCAAACTCTCTGACATCCCCATGCAGAGTGGTGAGAGTTAAAATCGCCTAGAATCAAAACTGGCTGAGGTAGCTCTGCCAGTAACATACGAAGATCCTGCACAGGGAGAGACTCCCCTGGTGGGCAGTACAGTGAACAACAGGTTAGCTCCCGGTGACCGAGAGCCACCCGAACAGCGACCGCTTGAAGCGGGGATCTGACCGGGATTGGTCTCGTCGAAACTCTATGGCTGACAGCCACGAGAACACCACCGTGAGCAACTGAGTCGGTATCCAGGTCCTTCCTGAAAATGGAATACCCTTTGAAATGTAGGTGATGCTCTGGCTTCAGCTTCGTCTCCTGTAGACAGACCAGGAGAGGACAGTAGCGACGGATCACCGTCTGTAAATCAACAAGGCTACTGCGGAGTCCTCTACAGTTCCACTGTAAGAAACTCTGCATGGAGAAGACAGTAAAAGAGGCGCAGAAGCGCTTTAAAAGCCCGTCCAGACGTAAAACAGCCCAAGAAGGCGATAAAACTGTTTAAAAGATTGAGTAGAAAGACGACTAGAAAATCACCTCCCCAGAGGATTCGTATTGAATCCTCGCGTGGCTAGTTCTCTGTCGGCCGTCGGCAGACTGGGACCGAGGTCCCACAGGGCCTGAAACGGTTCGGTTGCCAAACCGCACCCGGCCAGGGCCCTGCTCTGGCGGCGACGGGGGACCACGCTTGGCCGAACGCCTGCGTTCGGCCAGCACCGAGCTTGGGGGGCTGGGTGCAGGATCCGGCACGCTGAGGGTTCCGGATGCCGCCCCAAGGGACGGCGGAGGGGACCGCCTCGGGAGAGGCGGGGGAGGGGGAGGGGGCATGGCCGGAGAGCCGGCCGGGGCGTTCACCACTGGGGACGGCCTCCCCTCCTTGGCCTTCTCGGCCAGCCTGGCACGTTTGGCGTCCCTCGCCCGTCGCTCCTCCTCTCCCCGCTTCAGGGTTTCCAGCACTGCTGGGCTGATGGCCCTGTCAGATCCCGGAGATGGTGGTACAGTGGCTGTTGGAGACTGGCGCCTCGACGGGCGGCGCCGTGGGTGAACAGCGGTTCAGTCATCCTCAGATTCTGCCCGGCGACGTGCATCAGCAGCAGGCGCTGCTGGCACAGAATCGGCTGCGGGAGCCGGCGGGGTGTCATCCTCAATGAGCCCCGAGAGGAGCTGGATCAGCTCTGCTACAGAAAGCTGGCGAAGATTGCCGGCCTTCCTGAGGGCACCACTCACCCCGGGTCCGAGGGCGACCCGGCTTGCAGCAGGTTGGGGTGGCCGAGCGGCCACATCTCGGTATGAAAGCGAAGGTGCGGGAGTGCGCTGTCGCACCCTGTCCCGCGCCTCGCGAAAGGAGACGTTCTCCTTCGTCATCAATGCGCGCACCTCAGCCTCGAACACAAACTTAGGGCATTTGCGGTGCCATGCCCGGTGCTGGCCACCACAGTTGGCACATTTGACACTGTCCGATTGGCAAGCGTCAGAGCCATGCCCCTCAGCTGAGCAGACCCCACAGCGCTGTGTTCCCCGGCACTTCGAGGAGACGTGCCCGAAGGCCTGGCATTTGAAACACCGGACTGGATCCGGAAGAAAGGCACGAATGGGAACCACAAGATAGCCAACCTTGACCTCCCGCGGGAGGGTGGGGCGGTTCAGAGTTAAAACGATTGAGTCGGTGTTCATAAGAGATCCTTTCACCTTACGGCGGATGCGGCGGGCATGGGTGACACCTTGCCCTTCCATTCCGTCCACGACTTCGTCGTCCGCCACGCCGCGGAGGTCCGGGCATGTGATCACTCCCCGCACTGAATTTTTGAACGGATGTGGCTCAACTTTGACCTCTATTTTGCGGACCTGCTTATCTCGTGCCTTGAATGATATTTCTTTGAGGGCAAGCATATTCCGGATCTCAGTTTGGTTCGTCAGGTGGATTTCCAGGGTCCCGTCTGGGCGTTGGGTTACACGCTGAGGCTGACAGTGAGGCGAGAGTGCCTGCTCTCTTTGAAACGGATTGAGTTTGAGCGGCACGGGCTGGCCAGACTCATCCTGATCGGTTGAGCTCATGAGCAGAAAGTGAGGCAGCGGCCTCCCAAGATCACCGGGTGGTCGAGGGGTTGCCTCAGTCGAGGTCTGGGGGCGAGGACATCCGGGCGGGGCCGGAGTTGAAGTGGTCGCCGAGGTCGAAGTGGTCGCCGAGGTCGAGGTGGTCGTGGTTGAGGTCGAGGTCGAGGTAGGGGTCGGGGGAAGGAGTTCAGAATCCATGCAGTGTGAGTTGGTCTCCGCCAGCTCGGCCGCCGACGCTCCGCAACGGCGCCGCTACAAGGCCTAGGACGGCCGAGCTGACTGTACTGGACTTGGCGGCACCTTCCGCGGGGGAGAGAGAGACTCACCACCCCCCACGGTCGGATACCGCCTCCTCCCTTGACGCCTCGCCGAGTCACCGCCAGGGGCAGCGACAGATCAGTCCCACCGACGGAGGACGAGCACAAGTGCCCGAACCCCGCCGGCGACACCTCTCCGACACCACCCCCGACGGCATCACGACTGGGAATGGCTCCTCAAGTGCGGCGCCCCACTGAGTGTCCCGCCCTTACAGAACTCAGGGCCAAAGAGGCGTGTTGCCCAGCCACCGCGACTGGCTGCGCACGGTGGGGGGCTCAACCTCCAGGATCCCGTTGTCCTGGGGTACGGGTCGGCTCGCCTAGCCTAGTAAAACCGGCTGGTACCCGAGGGGACGCCACTCCCCTTACACTAGCCCAACTCGGCTGTGTTCCTGCGGGTGCAAAACCAACAAAAAAGGTAGGAAAAGAATCAGAAAGCTGTGATCGAACGAAACGCGGACATCCGGTGAGAAGCAAAGCAAAAGCAAACAAAGACCGCTCAAGAGAAACAAAACCACGAAAACCAGGAAAAGTCGGACCGTACCATCTGTCCATCCAGCGATCAAAGCAAGTCGTAAGCAAGCATGGGTCAAGCTGGGGCCAAGGGGGCGCTACTCCCCTTGCTGGCCGAGACCAGGGCCGCCGCGGGGCAAAGGCCCAAGGAACCCAGTTCAACAGCGACCCCGGCCACTGCCGACCCCCTGCGGGGCCAATCCTGCAGACAATCCATCCAGTAAGCAAGGCAAGTCCAGGTCAAAACGCGCGTCAAGCTGGGGCCGAGGGGGCGCTACTCCCCTTACTGGCCGAAGTCACAGCCGCCGCACAGCCGGAGCCAGATGACCCCGGCTAAGCAGCAGCTCTGACCACGGTCAGCCCCCTGCGGGGCCATTAGACCGCGATGCTCGGCAGACCCCATCAGGGCGCGGGTTAATAACCTACGCATCTATTCATGATATCTGCCGTGTAAGGTGCATATGCAGATGTAGAGCAAATATGTCAGAACTCAGAACTCAGAGCTATTGAAACGTCCAATTTCGACAGCTCTGTTGGTAGTGTATCTTATACACACATTTCTAACCCTAGCTGTGGCTGCCTCGTGGTTGATTGTAGTTGCCTCGTGTCTGATTAAACATTCACATTTGATTATGATGTAAATATCAGCTCTGCCCCGACTACCGACAGCATTTGGTCCGTAGGCTTTGCTGTTGTGACTTATTCAGGCGTCCTGACACGACCTTTATTCATCGCCAACTTCTAGCTAATTACTAATGTTCATTTACTTTGTCGTCCGCAGCTCACCATATTTGATCAGCCGAATTTGTCAGTGATAAGCATAAATCCCCCCCCCCCCAAAAGACAATATTACCGAAAGGAAGTGACCGACACAAATAAAAGTGCCATAACAATTGCAGCCCATTAGGCATATCTATCATTGCAGCATTTAAAAACTACCGTGATAGAGGGCTTTGCTGCAAATGAGTGATGTTTACATTCAAAGAATATGCAAGCCTTACCCAATTCGACCTCGCCTAATATTTGTTCTTCGGGCAATCTAGCCAAAATGCAGAATTATATTATGTTTGACCTGCTTATCAGACGACTAAATGCTATGAGACAACACACCAGAAGATAGGCCTGTCACAGTTGAATGAACAATGACGGAGAACGATTTTGTTGCTTCCTAATGCATTGTGGATAGTTGCACATTCCAACAAACAAAATACAAGTAGGTAGAAAAGTGTTCCTGCACCATTGGTAACGTGAGCCAGGGAACACTAATTTAGGCATGAATTCAGAAGGTACAAAAAGAAAGGCAAACGAAAAACGATAATCCAGAAGCAAAGAGAACGATCGAGTGAGGAGAGACAGAAAGAGAAAGACAGAGAGACAGAGAGACAGAGAGACAGAGAGAGAGAGAGAGAGAGAGAGAGAGAGAGAGAGAGAGAGAGAGAGAGAGAGAGAGAGAGAGAGAGAGAGAGAGAGAAAGAGAGAGAGAGAGAAGAGACAGAGACAGAGACAGAGACAGAGACAGAGACAGAGACAGACAGACAGACAGACAGACAGACAGACAGAGACAGAGACAGAGACAGAGACAGAGACAGAGACAGAGACAGAGACAGACAGAGACAGAGAAAACAATGAGAGGGACAGAGAGAGAGAGAGAGAGAGAGAGAGAGAGAGAGAGAGAGAGAGAGAGAGAGAGAGAGAGAGAGAGAGAGAGAGAGAGAGAGAGAGAGAGAGAGAAGAGAGAGACAGAGACAGAGAGGGGGAGAGAGAGAGGTGATCATCTCACCCGGTACTGTTTGTCCATTTTCCGGAGCGCATCATCCGATATACCTGCACCTCAATGCGGGTGGCCGGCTCCCCTCGAAATCGGTACCTGGAAATTGGTTGTATTTGGGGTCACACAGTCATACGATTTGATTTACGGTGGCTCTATGTCGGGTCATGCAGTCTTATGAAATCTGTTCCCTGATTATGCGCTGTGTTTAGCGATCATACGGTCATACGAAACCGTTTAGGGGGCCATACAACCATACAAAACAGAATCTTACCTGACCATGGTGTGGGTGAAAAGAGTCAGGTGATATGAATGACCAGCGAATGGCAAGCATCCGGCATCTCTAACTCAATGAGAATCCACGAGGCTGTACCGTGTATAAAGTTTGGATAGCTTCGAAAATACATAAAAAAATCACCATGGTACGATTAAAAAAAAAAACGAATAAGCCCGAAAATCGGCGACCAGCAGCAGCGACTCTGCGTCTGTTATTTCACATCGACCCTATCTTATCCTCAACCGACGGCAAGCAACAGAGGCTACCTCGGCATTTTGATGTGTCTGCCCTTCGGCGAATGGGGTGGTCCACCCATAATCAAATATGCTGTTCCGCAGAAGAAAAAAAAACACCCAGTAAAATCAGGGAAAAGATGACAAATCTGTAGCGACCTGCAGTTGGCGTGTTGCCATGGCAACAACACCAACAAGCTGATATACCATCGAGCTTATCAGGGTGTTGGGGCTTATTTAGTTATCCGTAGACAATGTCCACCGTGGGGATTTACGTCAGCATTATATGCAGTGGCGGTGGTTATCCTTATACCTGACAACAATATTCAGAAGAATCTAAGGCGACATAATAAGGTATGTACCTGGAGTTCTGAACCATTTAACCAGTTTGTGGTATATTGTCAGCTTGATAATTATGAATACATTAGTCATAACCTCTGCGTTGCAATGAGAATGACTCCTAATAAGCCTACTTCGCATAAATGTTTTAGATTCTAATTGATGTCGAAAAATACCTTAAGGAACATATCCACGTCTTAAGTTGTTCTGACCGTTTCCTACCTGTACAGCACTATCCTAATGTATTCGGTAATGTGTACATTATTTACATGCAATTTGTAATGCTGGCAGATACTTATGTTCTAAATCACACTTAAACATACAGCTGATGAGGTTTATGACTGCTTATTGGATAAATTGACGTTACGGTAATGTACAACAGGGGCGTGCAGATCCTAAAATGCACGAATGTGATTCGATTCCAGGCCACATGTGGCAATAAATCAATTTGGGAGCCATAAAGCTCGGTACAATAGAAGCCATCTAGGTATAATGTGCGTATATTAGCGGTGACTGGCGAAGGGTCTAGAAGTTTTCAATTGTTATTGTTCTTCCATAGTTCCATGCATAGATAACATGAATCATTCATGTTATCTATGTTATCTATTCATGTTATCATTCATGTTATCTATGTTCCATGTAATCATTTTAACCATGAAAACACGAAAAAACAGCGGAATATCAGCTGAATGTATTGCATAATGCAGACTGCATTACATTACAGCACTGTTGTGGGTTTTTATTTCGTTATGGAGATGCTAATAAATTGTTGATATGATTTATTTGTTCAGGGCTAAGGAAAGAAGCTCCTTACTTATCGTCCTGATCAACCCAAGGTTAGTGGCTGAACCATTTGGGGCTTAAAATATTGGGCATATCGATTCACATTTTGGAGCGTTTTTATGTCAAGATATAAATCCGCCCGGCTCCATTGATGGAACTCGGGACTCTCGTAGGGACTCTAAGGAATGATTTTTTAGTAAGCTTTGGGGAAATCAGGATCTGTTATTATTCTTAGCCATTTTCAGCAAGCGGCTGCCCTATCATACCTATTACCAAGGTGAATAATAAAGCACTTCACAGTTCACACGAACCGTTCATATCGTCGCTGTAACCGCGCATTCAGCCGAACTGGGTAACTCACCAGCAGTACAGTGGACCTGAAGCTACCACCATCTTGATCTGTCCGTACTTTTTCCCAGATGTGGAGTCCAGCAGTTGGCTGTCCAATGTTATGTTGCACACTGAAATGAGAGCGAACCCTATTTATAGACATGTTGCGTCAGAGCAACTCATATGTAGCGTATATGATGTGGGTTGCGTGAGAGTTCGATCAAACTGCAAATATAGCAGGGAGAAACGGAATATAAACACGTTTCACCTAGCCTGCTTCCTGAGCCGCGTAACAAGCTAGATGCGCGTTTGATGTCATCGCATATCTCTGCAATGGCCTTTCCAGGTCGAAAAAGTTCGCTCCCAGCAACATACCAGCGCACGAGTCCACTGTCCGGACCGTACATCCTTCCCTGCACAGTACAGCGGGCTGCAGACACGCTGACTTTTGACAAACGACTCAATCTCGCCGCAAGCGAAAAGATGGGCTCACAGTCGGAGCTGCCAGACATCTTGATGATCACATTCAGTTACTTTAAAATGGCGTATATCGGACAAATAAATTGATAAAGTCACTCAGCAGGCCAAAAGGTCAGAGCGTTCGTTAAGTGGCCGAGCCACAGGGAAGCCGTGAGGTCAATGGGGAGTAGGGTGACACTTATTTGTAGGGGGAAATCCAAAAATGAAAATTGCAACGCGCGAAAGCCTGCACAATGCACATGGTGTGAAACCATGAGAAAACACCTCCTGTGAAGTTTCAGGTCAATCGGACATATTTAAGAGGTGCCCCAAAGCCATTATGGCGCCTGATGCCCTCTTCTGCTTCCTCCCCCCCCCCCCCAACACGTCGCATAGCTCGAGCCTCGGCGGTGACCCCGCAGATTGCAACTGCGCTCGATCGAACAAGAACATCTGACCGGAGTGCTGTACACATCATCCACGCTGCTGCTGAGGCGTACAACCCAATCCCCCAGAACCTTGTAGTCAACCGGGAGTCGATCCGACGACACCGGAGGCGCGTCAGGGAGGATGTGGCGAGGGAGATCCGGAAGACGTTTGCTCCGGGCGTACCCCTCGTCGTCTATTGGGACGGAAAGATTGTCGCCGATATCACCAACACAAAGGCATCTGAGCGCCTTCCCATCCTCGTTTCTGGGGATGGTGTTAACAAGCTCACGGGAGTCCCACGCTTGCCCAGCAGGAAGGGTGACGATGTTGCCACCGCGGTTGTCAGCTGCCTGGAGGATTGGGGCGTCGCCGAACGCGTTGTGGGAATGTCTTTCGACACTACCGCTTCCAACACCGGCGTGCGCGGCGGAGCTTGTAGGTACTTACGTCCAACAGCGACTCGGGCGGAGTCTCCTCCACCTGGCCTGCCGGCACCATATTCTTGAGATCGTGGCCAACAAATCGTTCGGCGCCTGTCTCGCACCGTCGTCTGGGCCCGATATCCAACTATTTAAACGCTTCAAAGCCGAATGGGAATCCATCGACCAGGCGATGTTCGAGCCTATCGAGCCGATCCCGTCCACCAGTGACAAAGTCATTATGTTCTGCAAGGAGAAACTTCAAAGTACGCAGCCTCGGGATGACTATGGAGAATTCCTCAGCTTGACGATCGTTGTCTTAGGTGGCGTTCCCCCTGGAGGAATCAGGATGTCCAAGCCCGGAGCCTACCACCGCGCTGGATGGATGGGCAAACTGATATACGCATTGAAGATCTTCTTATTCCGCGGACAGTTCAAGCTCACCAAGGCGGTGGAGAAGAACTTGGCCCGCTTCGTCCTCTTCTTCGCGACGCTGTATGTACCGGCGTGGTACATACGAAGCCCCGCTGGCAGCCCTTGCTCCAGTCCAGGACCTAGCTTTCTATACCGCTCACTCTTATCCTACGAGGACGAGGAAATCGCAAGGGAAGCATCGAAGGCATTTGGGCGACATCTCTGGGACATCTCCGAGAAGCTGGTGTCGCTCGCTCTGTTCGACTTGAGGACCACGCTGGAGGAAAAGAAGCTGATCGTGGCTGCCTTTGGCCGCAACGGCGCAGAAGATCCGCCCAAGCGGATTTCACTGGAGCCTGACCTGACTGTACTGACGAGGAAGACGCGGCCGGACTTTGCTTCGTCAAGCTCCAAGTTTCTCGTGGACGTCCTTGGCCCGTCGGACTTCCTTGAGGTGAACCCGGCCGAGTGGCCGGAACGCCAGCTCGCCCGCCGCCGAGCCGAGTCCCTCAAGGTTGTCAACGATTTTGCCGAACGGGGCGTGGCTCTGATTTAGAGCTACAGCGCCATCCTCACGAAGGATGAGGAACAAAGACAGTTCCTTCTCCAGGTCGTCGAGGAACATCGACGTCGTTTCCCCGACGTCCGCAAGTCGACACTAGATGAGTACCTGTGATTGGGATTTTGGTTCCTATGAGACCCCCCAGCGAGGGTCGAATGTACGCAGGTCAGCATGGTGTGCTTTTTTTGTGTGCTAGGTGTGCCTTTTTTACTTTTTGTCGAGACCCCCATCGACGGTCTAATACACGCAGGTCAGCGTGTGTAGTGTACAGTCTCTGCCGCCCTTGTCAGGTATCGTACCGGTGCCGCTCGGCGCCTCCGGCGGTGACCGGTCGGCGGGCCGGGGCCAGCCGGCCGGGCGGGGAGGACGGGGTAGTCGCTCCCCGGACGTGTTACAGAGCGGACCGTCAATACAGCTCCGAACGCAGTGCCGTCTTCGCTGTGTGTGTGAGTGACGCGACGACGCAACATTGGCGACGAGGATGAGATCTGCTGCCCCGGTGCGTGTCAGCGAGGTATAGTCGTCGGCCCACACGGTACGTGGTCATGGAGCGGGAGCTGGCGCCGCTCGCGCCGTTCAGTTGCGCGGAGCCAAGTAAGTGGGACAGTTGGAAGCGCTCTTTTGAATATTACATTCAGGCATCGGGCATCACCTCAGAGTCTCGGAAAATAGCGCTTTTGTTACATGTCGGAGGAGTAGATCTCCAAGAAGTGTTCCATTCTGTTGTTGACGCGAGTGTCAAGGTTGAGACTCTGCAGCAGCTTTATGAAGTTTTTGATCAACAGTTTTTGCCGAAGCGAAACGTAATTTACGAGAGACATGTGTTCCGTAAGGAAGCTCAAAGGCCAGGGGAGACGATCGATGTTTTTGCAACCAGGCTGCGGGGCCTTGTACGGACTTGCGAGTATGGATCCCTTCAGGATGAAATGGTCAGAGATCAGATTGTTGACAAGTGCCTGAGCCATCGCTTACGATGCCATCTGCTCAGGGAACAATGCCTGACGCTGCAGTCGGCGCTGACGATTGCGAGGTCTATGGAAGATGCCGACAGACAAGCTGAGCTGATGGAGGACCGCGCAGCAGAGGAGCTCGCTGCACGCGCTGTGCACACGCGCCGCCCTGATCGGAGGATGCCTGGAGGAGCTTCGGATCAGACAGACGGTAGGACGAAATGTTTTCGCTGTGGCAAGGGTACCCACGACCCCGAGGACTGTTTCGCTAAAAACAAAAAGTGTCATAGCTGTGGTCGAGGTGGTCATTACCAGAGAATGTGTCGTGGGGGTGGCCAGTCTCGACCGGGCCGGAGACAGGTTCGTCTGGTGACGACGGAGCACGAAGATCACGTCTTCCGGCTCGCCGATGACGGCCGCGACGTGACGTACCCTGTCCAAGTAAGTGGCCAGTCTTGTGACCTTCTTGTTGATTCGGGTGCTACGTGCAACGTCATGTGTGAGGCTTTGTTCAAGGAAAAGTTTGGGAGTAAACAGTTGCTACCAAATAGTGACAGACTGTACGCGTATGGATCTGGAAAACCAATGAGAGTCATGGGCCAGTTCAAGGCCAGTGTCACATTTCAGGGTCGCACAGCCCAAACAGTGTTTCATGTCATCCCTGGGTCACATCAGTCTCTGCTGGGGAGGGCGACGTCTGAGAGGCTGGGCCTGCTCCGTGTGGGACCACAGGTCAGATGCGTCTCCGAGAGCAGTCATCCCGCTCACAAATACCCTGCTCTCTTCAGAGGACTTGGCAAGCTGAAGGACTTCCAGCTGACGGTGCCGATCGATCCAGGCGTCACCCCGGTGGCGCAGAAGGTCAGGAGAATTCCGTTCTCTCTGCAAGGTCCCGTGGAGCAGAAGCTGAAGGAGCTGCTGGACCAGGATATTATTGAACAGGTTAGTGGCCCGACCCCGTGGGTGTCACCCATTGTATGTGCGCCGAAGAAGAACGGGGATATCAGACTGTGTGTGGATATGAGCCGGGCTAATGCAGCTGTGATTCGAGAGAGGCATCCAATGCCCACACTGGATGATGTGTTGCATGAAATGACAGGGTCTACGGTGTTTTCCAAACTAGATTTGGCACAATCATTCCACCAGATCGAGCTGGATGAGTCATCACGGAGCATTACCACTTTCGTCACACACAAGGGCTTATATAGGTACAAACGTTTGATGTTCGGTATCTCGTGTGCCCCAGAGATGCACCAGCGGGTGATTCAGCAGGTGCTGGAGGGGTGTGACGGCGTCCGCAACATCGCCGACGACATCATCGTGTATGCCCCGACAGTCGCGCAGCATGATCGTCGTCTGGACGTAGTCCTCCGCCGTTTACAGGATGCCGGCCTGAAACTGAACGGTGAGAAGTGTCAGTTTGGCATGACTGAGCTGACGTTCATGGGGCACCGTCTGGGGAAAGCCGGAGTCACTGCGACCGGCGAGAAGGTGGCGGCTGTCTTGAACGCCAGAGAACCGCAGGATGCTTCCGAAGTGCGGTCTTTCCTGGGTCTTGTGACATTTCTGGGTCGTTTTATCCCCGATCTGTCAACAGTTTCGGCACCTCTCCGTGACCTGACGAGGTCTGGGGTGGCGTGGAAATGGGAGAAGCCGGAGAACGACGCCTTCAACGAGTTGAAGCGGAGGCTGGCCAACAGGAACGTTCTCGCTTATTTCTCCCTGACAGCAGAGACCCAACTTGTCGTGGACGCTTCCCCGGTGGGCCTCGGCGCAGTCCTGCTTCAGAGACAGCGCTCAGGTGTGCTCAAGCCAGTTGAGTATGCCAGCCGAAGTTTGAGTGATGTCGAGAGGCGGTATTCCCAGACAGAGCGGGAGGCTCTGGCGGTGGTTTGGGG